ATGTACACTCCTTATAAAAATTGGGTCACAAATAACCAATGTTGTCAGAACCGAACCGGAGCATGACCCGATAACATGAACAGCTCGCACTTTAGTGGGCCAACCGGTCTTGGGTCATTTAAAAATCGTTAGAGGATCGATAACTTATAAACAATAATATCATAAGTAGAAGACACATATGGTAGTAATTGAACCATTAATGACTAAAATAAAATTTACCAGATTTGTAATGTTACATTATATATAATTATAATTAAATAAAATTATCTAAACCCTACCCCACTAAGTGTGCAAGAGCACCGCCCACTCTTACCATATCTCTCCCTCTCTTCCAAACCCTACCCCCACCAAGCGCCAGCGCCGCACACCCTCACTCCCCCCTCTCTCTAAAACTCTTCATTTCTTTTCTTCTTTTTTTTCTTGATTCTTCTTCACAAAAATCCAACACCCATGAGTTGGGCGACGGGAGAGTTGGGTTCGCCGGCAGGAGTTGCGTTCGACGGGAAGGGAGCTAGTCCGACGAGGAGAGTTGGGTTCGACCGGAAGGGCTGGGTTTACCGAAGAGAGTGTCGGCGGTTGCATTCGCTGGGTATGTTGGCACTCGACGGAATGGAGAAACCGGACGAGCTGCTCGAACGATGTCAACGGTTAACCGCCTCGATCGCTCCAAAAACCGCTCTCGAAACTGCTTCGGCTTTTTGACTGTGCCGAGCCGACTTGGTGACCGAGTGTCAGTTTTACCGGTCGGGTCGACCGGCTCGGCTCGGTTTTAATAACACTGCAAATAACACTTTGTAAAACGTATAGGGTCTATACTCTTTTTTTGGTAGGAAGACGGACGCAAAAGCGTCCTAATTAACATAACTAATTGAACGAGTTTGGGCAATGCCCATTACATCATACGTAATCCAACGATTTAACCCCGGATCACTCACATCGAAGAGATGTGTCCCAAAAGTGGCCCCATGACCTTTACTAGCAAGGTAATCGGCCGCAAAATTACATTCCCTATGAACATGGGAGATACTAATTCTCCAGTTCCTATTCAGGAGATGACAAAATTGTTGGCAAAGAAATTCGTGCCGATGGCTATCATCCTCGCTCGTCTTCATGATGGAAATAGCTGTCATAGAGTCAAGGTGAAGCTGTACCTTCCTGTGCCCCTTGTCCCAAGCAATTCTGAGTCCTTCAATCGCCCCTTTCAATTCAGCAGCGGTGATCGTACAGGTACCCATGTTACAGATGAAAGCTTCCAGGCACCTCCCTTGACAATCCCTGATTAAACCTCCTGCCGCTGCACTTCCTGAAGGAGTGAGGACAGATCCATCAGATTGGATCTGTACCCAGCCCTCAGGAGGAGGAGTCCAAGCAAGGTTCACATCAGCCCGCTGTCTGGAAACATGATCAAAACACTTTCTGACATTCATTTGGGCTTGCTTGACAATACGAAACCACGCCTCGCTTCTGCGTTGTAGCATGGCCTCCGAGAACCCCTTCCCATCCATACATTCCTCGTTCCTCTGCTTCCACAGATGCCAGCAAATAAGGCCAAATTTGACACCAACAGCTTCGCTACTTAGTAGGTTGCTAATCATCCATTGCCTGAAGGGGAAATCCTGCCTTTTCTCATTTACGCAGAAATTGGAATTTCTCCCAAACTCCCTTAGTCTTCTGACAGTGACGAATGATGTGCTCAGTAGACTCCTCTGCATTCATACAGTGGTTATAGTTACCATTCGATGACAGCTTCCTCTTCAGTCTTTCCTTGTTGGTAAGCAAGCTTTCATGGATCACAAGCCAGAGAAAATGTTTCACCCGAGCTGGCCCTTTCCACTTCCAGAATTTCTTCCAATTCTCATCACTTTCCACTTCGAGATGGTCTGCAGCGAGGCTGTAAGCTGAACTAAGTCGAAACTGTCTGTCGCTTTCAATTCCCCATATCATCTTGTCCTCGCCCATTTCGCGATTATGAGCCTCCATACCTGCAATAAGAGTAAGCATCTGAGGTGGCAGAAGGCCATTGAGTCTCTGCTAGTCCCAGTTACCCTCGCCATCAACCCAACACGAGACTGCAGAGGCTCTTTCATTCTCGGGGATGTCCTGCAGCAGCTCATCTTCGAGGATAATACCACAGTCAATCCAGGGATTCCTCCAGAAGCTCGTCGTTTCCCCGTCTCTAATGCTCCAACTAGCAGCACTTTGCACCAGAGGTAGGGCTTTTTTGATTGCTCTCCAAAGATTAGAGTGATTGCTAGTCTTCATGGAGATAATTTTGCCTTCCCTTGAATTGAAATACTTGTTTTGGATAACCTGCACCCATAAATCATTAGCATTGTTCAGAATCTGCCATCCAAGCTTCATCATAAAAGCAGTGTTCAAACTTCTAGCAGATCTCAACCCAAGCCCACCCTGACATTTTGGTTTACATATGGTCTCCCAAGACAACAAATGGACTTTCCTTTTCCCCTCATGAGAGCCCCACACAAAGCTCCTAACTCTCTTATCTATATCCTCACAAACAGAGATAGGGAGGGAGGTGGTTTGCATGACATAGTTAGGGAGTGCATTTAACACTGAGAGAGCAAGAGTAACTCTTCCCGCAAGGAAGATTGTTCTGGCTTTCCAGGTGGAGAGCTTTTTGTCGATCCTCTCAAGGATGTATCTATAGGTAAACCTAGTAATCCTACCATGCAAGACCGGGACACCAAGATATCTCCCTAAGTCAGTCGTGCCCTGGATACCAATGCTACTACAGATACTCCGCTTAACCTGATCCCTAGTATTCTTGGAAAAGAAAATTCTAGACTTTTCTTTACTAACAAGCTCCCCTGAGGCAGCACAGAAACGGTCAAAGCAGCACAGGATGGTCTCTGCCTGACTAGGAGAGGCTTCAGCAAACAACATCAGGTCGTCTGCGAAGAAAAGGTGGGACAAGGGGCGACCTCCCGGAGCAAGTCTAATAGGTTTCCAGTTCTGATTCTTAACCTCTAAAGCGATGCAATGACTCAAACGCTCAATACATAAAGTAAAAAGGTAGGGAGATAGGGGACATCCCTGACGTAGGCCTCTGGTTGGCTTGAAGCTTTCGGTCTCCCCACCATTCCAGAGGACTTGCATCTCCAAAGAAGTGACACATTGCATCACAAGGCAGATAAAGTTCATGGGCATCCCGGTAATTGACAAAGTCTCTTCTAAAAAGCTCCAGTCAATCCGATCATATGCTTTAGCTAAGTCGATCTTGAGAAGCATGAGCCCTTTCTTTCCGGTTCTTCATTCCATGTTGTGAACTGTTTCCTGCAAAATCAGAATATGATCAGTGATGTGCCTATTCGGATCAAAACTAGATTGGTTTGCTCCCACAAGGTGATTCATAAACAGCTTAAGCTTGTTAGCAAGGCATTTAGCAAGGATTTTATACGTTGCACTGCAAAGACTAATAGGCCTAAACTGACTCATTGAAACTGGAGCATCAACTTTAGGAATAAGGACCAGCAGAGTCTCATTAATAGAACGAACATTCGCAGGGTTAGCATAGCAAGAAAGGATAAAGTTAGAGAGGTCCCTTCCAACGAGATTCCAACAGCGTTGGTAGAAGACCTCGTGGAAACCGACCTTTCCAGGAGCTTTCAGTCCTTGCATTCCTTTCACAATCTCTCTAATCTCAAAGGGGCTCGGAGGGACCCCCATGGCACGCTGGGTTTTCAACTTCAGGGAAGCACGCTGGGTTACAGGTTGTAGACAACCCATCATCCTTGGTGAAGGGGTCGGCATAGAAGTCTCTGGCCATAGCAAGAAGGGATTCCGGGTTGGTAACCCACTCCCCGTTAGCAGCTTCTAAACCTGTGATCTGGTTCCTTTTTCTCCTACTAAGAGTATTGTTATGGAAAAACCTTGTGTTTTGGTCGCCGTGAATCACCATATCAGTCCTCGACTTCTGCAGCCAAAGGATTTCTTCTTTTATAAGGTGTCCTCCAATTCTTCTCTCGTTGCTTGCTCCTTACGCATTGAGAGATCAGTAGCCGCTCATTCATTTAAAAATTCCAGGCTTTCCAACTCCTTAACTAGCCTTTTCTTGCGCCTAAAGATGTTCCCAAAAACATCTTTGTTCCATTTCGGGAGCTTCAAGGCCAACTCCTGCAAAGAGAGGGGAAACAGATGTGAACTATTCCAAACAGAGTTAACAAAGGGATCAAAATCTTTACGAGCAAGCCAAGGAGCAAGAAATTGGAATCGACGCACCAAAATTTGCTTCAGAGGCTCGCTTCCCGTGCATGTGAGGATCGGGCGGTGGTCGGATTTGATTTTAACAAGATGGAAGGTGGTAGATTGGGGGAATCTTTGCTGCCAGGCCAGGTTGCAAAGTCCCCTATCCAGTCTTTCCTTAATCTTGCTCCCACTAGTAAACCAGGTAAACCTAGGTCCAGTGTATCCCACATCAATCAACTCGCCGTCACTGATACAGTCCGTAAAGGCTCTAGCTTTGGCAAAGTTGAAAGGGGCCCCTCCCTGTTTTTCAGAAGCACCAGTGATGGAATTAAAGTCGCCGATGCAAAGCAATGGAACTTTAGTTCTCCTACTGATACTCCTCAGGGACGCCCTCAAATCTCTCCTCATGTACTCGTTGGGGCTGGCATACACAATCGAGAGGTGACACACTTCCTTGCTGGGCAAGGTACAAGAGAGGTGGATGAACTGACGTTCAATCAAAATCTCCGAGATGGTGATCTTATCCTTGTTCCACAGCACCCAAATCCCCCCACTGTAGCCTATGGCTACAGAGACGAACTTTGAATCGTAGCCCACAGATTTAATCACATCTTCAGCATCCTTCCCACTAATCCGTGGTTCGAGAATGCACACAATATCAAGATGATGAGTAGCTTTATACAACTCCAGAGAGGACTTGAATTTGTGGTGCTTAGCACCACGGCAGTTCCAAGAGAAAACCTTAATCATATCTGAATAAGGAAAGGAACTCCACGCGATCCAGGGATCGACATTCAATGGTGATCAACGGCCATGGTCGTCACCTCCACACCAGTATCACGACTTTCAACAGTTTTACTGGAGTGACAAGCAATTTCTGGCTTACTTCCTCCCACCTCTTGGTTGGAGACGAAATCAATCTTCCTATGGAGACTTGTCCCTTTATCTGGGGGCTTGCCAATCTTCGCCTTAGGGGGGTCTTTGAAGAGCCTTGGGTTGTTGACCGGTCTCTCATCTTGGGTTGTTGCCCGACTTTGGCCGGACCGGTATGCTCTTTTCCTTTCCCTTGTCTGATTTTGGTAGGGCATAGGGTCTATACTCTAGAATGGCTATTCGGAGAACACTTTTAGACTATCTCCAACCCAAGCATGCAAATTTGGAGAAAGGGAGGTTTTTGGCTTTTTTCATCTCCAACCCACCAATTATTTGGCTTGCAAATTTGGAGAAGTGGGCTTGGGGGTGGATAGATATAAGCTCATGTGGAAAAATGCAAGGAGAAGGTGGGAGACCAACCATGGAACCCAAGCCCACACGCTGGGGCCCTCCACTTTCCAACATCTTTTTTTATTTTTATTTTTATCTTCTTAATTTTTGATTGGTTGGTTATGAGTTGGAAAGGCAAATTTAGAAGGTTTTTTTTGGAGAAAAATGTGTTTTTGAAAGGTAAAAATACACATTTGAGAGCTTGAGAGGCTAAATATAACCTTTTGGGTTGGAGTTAGTCTTACCGTTTACAAGATATAGGGATAAGTTGCAAAATACAGGAAAAAGCGAGAGAGAGAGAGAGAGAGAGAGAGAGAGAGGTTTCAGCTTCTTCCAGTTCGAGATCTGAGGCATAACTATCTTAATAAACCTCCAGCTTCCGAGAGCCAGAGTTGAAGAGATGATACAGGTTGTTAGCTGGTCAGGAACCCACGAAGATTGACCGACGACCTAGTGGTGGTGGAATCAGTTTTGGGGAAGAACATACCTGGGGGTTGAGAGGATAACAGAGAACAGAGGAGCGAGCGAGCGAGCAAGCCACCTTCGAGCTGGTTGGATGAATCTGGTAACTAAATCAAACATATTTATTTGATTTAATGTTTAGTATTGTTTACCCTTTTGATTCATCCGGATTTTGTGTGCTCTGGAGGGGTTTAAGTTTTTCCTCTTCCTAATCGGTGTCGGAGTTGCCTACCTACCCCTGCTCTCTGTTTTGGTTTCGGATTCGATTTGTGTTAGGGGGATTCACAACATTTATAAATCATTAGACTTTACGTAAAGTAAACGCCTAATCATATTGAAATCCTTTGAAATTGACCCCAACAGATACCGGTCGAATCAGCTGCTATCCGGCTAGGTTTTATCGCCGGCGATGGCGAACACGATGATGAAGGGAAAACAAGACAGAGTAGGAGAAGCAGAACAAGTGGGTCACGATTGGAGTGAGTTGCCCGGGGAGCTGTTGGCTCTAATCGGCCAAAGGTTAATCAAATTAAAGCTCGCAATCCGTTTTCGAGCAGTCTGTAAAAGATGGAGGAGAACCCTGGCAGAGCTGCAGCCTATGATGTTCCGTCAATCATCGCCATCACCGTTGCTGATGTTGCCCTACTGTAACGACGACGCAGCTTGTGGTTGCCGCAGCCAGCAGCAGCAATTAGAAGGTTGCCAATGCCGCCTCTTTTTGGACTTGGTCCACAACCAATATCACCACATCGATTTTGTGGAAGGCTTAGAGAGAACCAGCTGCCGTGGATCAGCATTCGGATGGTTGTTTATGCTGCAGCTGCCAGTCCCACTGTTACTGAACCCTCTCACTGGTAAGCAAATCCAACTCCCACCCATTACTTCTTTCTCGGATGTCTTAGAGTATGATCCTGAAAAACTGGGTCTTGAGTATTTGGTTCAAGATCCCCTCCCCGAAGGCGGCAAAATAAGACTAGGGAAGAGGCGTTTAGGGTACAACTACATGAGGAGATTTGCAATGTCCTCGGCGGACCCCACTTCGGAGGACTGCACTGTGATGGTTATCCGTCAGAATAATTATATGAATTTGGCGTTCTGCAAACCCGGAGAGGAAGAGTGGGTGTTGATTCCCAACCCCGACGGCAACCACTTGCAGAACATTGTGTTCTGGAGAAATCAGTTCTATGCCATCGATTTGGACAGCATAGTTCTGCGTTGTGATTTATCGAACCCTGCAGTCCCTACCATGTCCGTTTTCGTTGATGATGTTGATATGCAGGCTGACACTGCCTACCTGCTTGTTGGTCCAGCCGACGAGTTGATGATGATTGCCAAGTGCGTGGAGTTCGATGGTCAGGATGTCGATGACCATGGACTGCCGGTTCATCATGAACATGTTGGAGAAGCTGAAGGTCAGGATGTTGTCGATGACCATGGACTGCAGGTTCATCATGACCATGACGAAGAAGCTGAAGATCAGGATGTCGATGCGCATGGACTGCCAGTTCCTCCTCATCATGATGAAGAAGAAGAAGAAGAAGTTGACGATCAGGCTAGTGTTTTCTGTGTTTCTGATGTGGACACGGATACTGAGCTGGAGTCGAGAGGAACTGCAAATTATAGGTCTACCTTCGGGGTTTACAAGCTCAACGAAGATACACGTCAATGGGGCGCGGTGCAAAGCATTGGTGATTTTGCTCTGCTTGTGGGTACCAATACGCCTACCTATCTCTCTACCAAAAATTACCCTGGAGTTCAGTCGAATTGCATCTATTTCACAGACGACGAGTTCACCGCACATGTACGACGAAGGTTTGGAGGCCATGATATGGGCGTTTATCACCTCAGTGATGGCACTAGGGAATCATTTTGCTCTACTGACTTGTACAAACCTGGTTTGATTTGGCCACCACCCGTGTGGATTGTACCATCCAACTGTTAAAGCTTGGGATCTATGATTACTTGGTTCGATAAGTTAGCTTGTCTTTGTTTTCTTCTTTCTTTCTGTGACCTACCCATGTACCTCTCTTTGTTTCCTGGACTTGTGCTTGCTGCTTTCGTTGATTCAATGTATCAGTTGGAAATCAGAAGCAAGCAAAGGCAGGCACTGTTGTTTGTTGTATCCTGCAGGTTTCCCTGGCAAAATTCAGGCTTTTGGGTTAGCCGCCATATCAAGCTAACTAGGCCAGCCTTCCGCATTTGGGCCTCTTCTTGGGTTGAAATTGGGCTTCTGTTTTTGTACGGAAGTCCGGCCCATTGGCCGCAGGTTGCCATTTGAAAAGTCGTCGACTCATTTTGAATAGTAGAGCAACATCAAAGTATGAGTACTGAAATGGTCATTCCAAATAACTTAATCAACAAAAACCAAAATGTCGTTCTTCCATTCTAACATTGTGAGTTAAAATGTGCACTAAACTGGAGAAAAGAACTGGTTCATCTCCAATTGTCCTAACATTCTCAATTATTTTTCTCGAGATTGAAATTTGAATCTAATCCATCAATCCATTTTATTGACTAAACAATGCAAGTAATTCTATCCACTAAATCACATTTCATGAAAATTTGGATTTATTTTTCCTGGTGAATAATTTGGAATATTTGTCTATAATGCCAATACTATTTATATTTCACAATATTTGTCTGTAATTTATACCAATACCAATTGCTCTCTAGGTCGTATAATTGAACCAGATCTCCAATCATTTCCATGGAACGTTTTGATCATTAGCTAGTAATCGGCTTGCTTACACTTTATATGGTTTCTCACTATATAAATATACACATTACAATCTTTGTTTAGTATAGTTGTGTTATCGTTGTAGTTGCAGTGTTATTGTGGTGGAAACGGAGATACAACCACAACATCATGAAAATAAAAATGAAACATAGAAACCCGTTTAGATGTTGATTATGAGAAATCATGGAAGTTGACAATTACCTAGTGGTGGACCCAGAAATTTTAAATAGGGTGTCAATTTTAAAAATAAATAAAATAAAAAATTAAATAATTCTTAAATAAGAAAATATCTGACTCGTACAAAGTTAAAAAAGTCCACGATTAGTTTTCATATTCGAAAATAATTGTAGAATACACTTGGTGTCTATACTGCTCAAAAAAGTGTCTCTTTATACCCTACTAGACAATCATTCATGAACTGATCGTATATTCGAAATCTAAACTTGTTTTTGATGTAATCCAAAACAGAAAAGACTCTTTCAACACTTGTCGTACAACCATAAAATCACACCAATGTAGGGTAGCTTGAAATTAGATGAATTGTTAGGTTTTGAAAATAATTAGAGATAGAGAATGACATTTTCATATTACACACGGTGTTAAAATCGAACAACAAATGAGTTGTAGCTTAATGAAAATTATATTTATTAATAATTATAGTGTACTAAGTTTGAATTACCCACTACCACTTATATTCTCATACGCAAACAAACAAAAAATGAGAGTAGGTTAATCATTTTTTCAAATTTCAGGAATATCCCCCACTATCAATTATATGTTTTTTTATACACAAATTATCACAGGGGATTGGATAATCATTTTCCCAAAACACCTCCAAAGTGCCCTGGGTCCGCCATTGCAATTACCTACTTTTAGTTAATTCATTAGGCCTCGTTAAGTATCAATGTTCAGACCAAGACAAAGGTTTCATGGATAAGTTATGCAGAAATAGAGAGAGAAAATAAGTAAAAAGTGAGTTTGGTGAGATTAGGTCATATACATCTTTGAATGAGATTATTACAACAAGTCATAGCATCACACAAAGCAACAACCTTTTGAAAACAGCGAGGGCTACTTAATATTATTTCACTGTTTTCAGCTAATTTCTATTTTGTTGCCACAACAGATGAAAACAATACTAAACATATTTTCGGTTCTTACTTTCACATCCCATCATACATATTTGTGGTGGAGCTACGTGTAGTCCATAAAGAGATACAATCCCCTTCAATTTTTTTTCTAAGACCATGTTTAGTATGTATATATATATATGGTGACCACTTCGGTGCACTCAAAAAAATGAGTGCGTTCAATGCACCCAACTCAAAAACTAGTCTTAAGGTGTCAGATTTTGAATTTTAATTTGTAGAATTAGTGTAATATGATGATATAACATATGCTAACAACTAATTAGCGAATTATCCTAAGCCCTAGACCTCCAATTTTGAGTTCTATCCCTAAACCCCAAATTGTAAACCCAAACCCTAACCCTAAATCTCTTAACTCTAAATCCTTCAAATTAAAGTAAATCTTTAATGGTTTTTGTGCAAATTCATGTGCGTTATTGTTCATCACATCATAAGTGATGATTGGCATCATTTTGACATAAATCGCATGTTTAAAATGACGGTTATGAAGCGAGTGCACTGAATGCACCCAAAAAAGTGAGTGCACCGAAGACACCACCATATATATATATATATATGGTGCCGTATTCGGTGCACCCACTTTTTCGGGTGCACTCAGTGCACCCGCCTCATAATTGTCATTCTGACCATGCGATTCATGTCAAAACGGTATCAATTATTGCTTATGATATTATGAACAAGAAGCACATGAATTTGAAAAAAATCCATTCAAAATTTACTTTAATTCGAAGGATTTAGGATTTAGGGATTTAGGGTTAGGGTTTAGATTTACAATTTGGGATTTTGGGTTGGGATTCAAAATTGAATGTTAAGGGGTTAGGGTAATGGATTGATTTGTTATGATTCTATGTCATATCATCATATTATATTGAGAGTACTAATTAAAGTTCAAAATTTGATATATTATGGACGCTTTTAGAGTTGGGTGCACTGAGTGCACCCAAAAAAGTGAGTGCACTGAGTGCACCCAAAAAAGTGAGTGCACCGAAGAAGCCACCTAATATATATATATGTATATGGTGGCTTCTTCGGTGCACTCACTTTTTTGGGTGCATTCAGTGCACTCGCTTCATAACCGTTATTTTAAACATGCGATTTATGTCAAAATGATGTGATGAACAATAACGCACATGAATTTGCACAAAAATCATTAAAGATTTACTTTAATTTGAAGGATTTAGAGTTTAGAGATTTAGGGTTAGGGTTAGGGTTTATAATTTGTATTTAGGGATAGAACTCAAAATTGGAGGTCTAGAGCTTAGGGTAATCCAATAATTAGTTGTTATCATATGTTATATCATCATATTACACTAATTCTACAAATTAAAATTCAAAATCCGACACCTTAAGACTAGTTTTTGAGTTGGGTGCGTTGAATGCACTCATTTTTGTGAGTGCACCGAAGTAATCACCACATATATATATTTTTTACAAATTGGGGCAGTTTTATTCCAAATCAAAACAGTGGAAGCATAGATAAAACAGTGGTGACAAAAGATCAGCAATATTGACCCAATCTCTTAGGAGAACATCTAATCTAGCATTACAAGCAACTTAGTCCGCCAACAAATTGTGACGTCGAGGAACAAATATGATTTTCACCCAAGGAGTCGAAACGAGAATGGTCAAGACACGAGCAAAGATAGCCCAATATTGCCAAGGCCATTGGTGCAGAACAAGCTTAAGAGCATTAACAAAAATATGAGAATCAGAATATCAGATTAGACCAGGGTCGTCCCATGATAATCGGAGGCCCTGTTCGACAATTTAAAATGTGGCCCCAAAATATTTTTTTATAAATTTTTTAAAAATAAAATTATTAAATAATAATAAAAATGACAACTTCAAAAAATGATTGGAAAATAATAATATTATCTACGCTTAGAAATTAACTTTTTCAAATTTTCGGGTTGACATAATTAGAATTGGGTGTGTAGAATTCATATTTAGGCGTTGGATATTTTTGGGAAGTTGAGAATTTTGGGAAAAGAGAAGAAGATAAAATACCTAACTATTATTTTTTATTCAAGAAACAAGCCGTAGCTCAGTGGTTGTGTCTTCTTTTGATGAAAAGGATAGGTCCACGGTTCGATTCTCCTCCTGCGCCTTTGTACTTTGGGTTTTTATGTGTGTGTGGGCCTCGCCAGCCCTAGGGGTTCGAGTGTGGGCCTCGCCATTCCAACGGGGCCTCCAGGGTTTATGTGGGGGTTCTTGCGAGCCCAAAATAGCATCCATTCTGAGGCCCAAATAAAATTGAGGCCCTGTGCTGTGGGTCGGACCAGCACAGGGCCTGGATTAGACACATGCTGAGCAATGTTCTTGAGCCGCCAAAATCACTACATTGAGAATGACATAAGCTTCCGCCTGCATCAAATAGGAAGAAAAGAATCTCTCAATCTCGCCGTTGTACACCTAACCATGAGAATTAGCAACTTTTAGTATCTCCCCTCCCCCCAGTTTTTCTTCCCTACCGAAGACATCCAACAAACAGTCCGAACTAGAGCCCAAACACTATTCTTATCAATCGCATCAGCTAATCCTGGTCCAAACAAAACGCAAATTAAGTTTTGCATTTGGAGATGAAGCTACCGATTTCTCTCAAACGTGGAAGCTTCCGTTAACAATAAGGCCAAAGCCAGCCGACCGTTCGTTCCTTTTCCGTCGCTTTCATTTCCCTTTACATGGTTGTTGTTTTCCTGTATGGAAAAGGAAAACAATGGTAGCAACCTGCAAATGAGAAGTAAACAGGTAATTAAGAGTGGAAAATGAAATCTGTTTTGTTCTGGGGGATAATGAGAGTGAAAATGAAACTTGCTTTCTCGCTCTCCATGGACCATAACTTTACATATTGGTCTGATTTTCACATTGCTTTCACCAAAAGGAAAAAAAACGGGGGCTTTGATGCTGAGTGCCACCAATATGAAATAATGAAACACTTGCATGCATTTAGAGCTACAATTAAGTGCATGTAACCAATACCGTCAGAATCGCGCCTTTAAAGTTTAAAAACTTACGATTTTACACTTCTATGTCATCAAAACGCTGCTACGTAGAATCACACTTTTTTCCTTATAAGGGCCCGTTTGGAGAATTGGAGTCTAAATCTATAGATTCTAGACAATCCAAAGATTTTAACTCTCTGGATTGTTGAAAAAAGATTTGAAAATGTTCATTGTTTGGTAACTACGATTGCTAACATCCAATGAAAAAAGAAATTTATTTTTTTATTAAATGATATATTTATCCTTAACTAAAATAATTAGATTGACTCGAAAACTATTGAGAATCTATTGGTGAGGGTATTTAGTGGGATAAATGAAAAAAAAAAAGATATAGTAGGAGAAAGAAAATCTCCAAAATCAAGATGTAGAATCTCTCTAATTATGAGAGATTTAATATCTCTAGATTTTAGAGATTTAAAATCTCTGAAGCTACAATCCACAATAAAAAAGTAACAAAAAAAAAACATAACATTTTACTAAATCTATTGATTCAATAAATCCATGATCCAAATCTTGTTCTCCAAACGAGCCTAAATGTAGTCAAAATCTAAGTTTTAAAGCTTACGGTTTTACACTTCTGTATCACCAAACGCTTCTACATAGAATCGCGATTTTGACTACGTTACATGTAACAACATTGAAGAATTCCGCGCCCTCCTTTGCAAGCAAAATTTTCTAGCAAACAAATTACTTTCGGTTGATGTTGTTAGGAAATTCTATTTCCTATAATCTTTGATAATCTGATAAGATGAAGTTCCGGAGATTACATGTGTTATGCTTAATTCTAACAGATGTTAACCATTTAACGTACAATAACTACACATAACGTGGGAAAATCGATAATAGTTTCAACTTTCAACCCTACACATAACGTGGGAAAATCGATAATAGTTTCAACTTTCAACCCATAGGACAATATTATTGGAATCTAGAAGCTGTAAAAACATTTTTTAACAGTAGTAAAACCCTAACCCAACTCTCCTACATAATTAAGAAGCAATTATTGGCGGGGGCAATGAATGAGAGGAAAAAGGGGTCGGGAGGGGTCCCAATCCAGCTACTGCCACTAAAGAAAACAAAAAAAAGAAAGAACAGAGTTCTGTGAATGTAAGGAACCAACAACCACAAACACTACCAACAAGTTTCTGTTGTGATTAAACCCTCCCTCCAATAATATTATTCAAAGGGACTCCTTTTTCTGAACACTGCTGATAGTTTATTAATAGCACAACATGACAACCTTATTAAAAACTTATCTCTCCTGGGAGATACCTAACTTCTAGAGATTCTAGTACAATCACAGCACAGTAGGCTTCATTCTATCTTATCTATGAAATCAAATTAGGCCCCAAAAACAACTATCCCCACTATCCTATCTTATCTATGAAATCAGGTTCTCATGATTTTAACTGGAAGGTATAAGATTAAGATCTAGTTGCCTAATGTTGTTGCAAATCAGGAACAATAACAGAGTTGATGAAATTGTATTGAAGATGCAATCCATTTGGCCAATAGCTCGAAGTTTAATAGTGAAACTGTGAAATTCACATAGCTTACCATTTTGAGATTGTACGTGTGAACAGCCAGCTATCATGGATTTGCCTGATATTAATGAGGTCATGTGGTATTAGACATATTTGACGGATCCTTTCCTGAGAAGAAAAAAAAAAAGTGAAACTGTCAAGAACACATAACAAAAAATCATACCAGTTTAATATCCCTTAGAACACTGCATATTGAGAAAGATTTCCCCAGATTGCGTAGAGAAGCACTAGTTTTTTTTTTTTTTTTTTTGGTGGGAGTAGAGAAGCACTAGTTAACTGGCCTGAATGGAAGCTTTCACTTTTGCCCAAAAAAGTTAACACACAACCTTCGTGTCTCTATGGTAATGGTTGCCCATTTTGGGGGTAGTCTGTCCTCCACCTGCACCAGAAGGAACAAAAGCCTTTTACTTTCTGCAATTATAGGTAGGAAAAGCAGCAGCTTAGGGGCAGCGTATATAACTTGCAAAAACCATCAACAAACAAAGTAAACGACTTTTCATATATATCATGTCTTGGGTAATCATGAACAGCCCTTAAAGGAAGTAATCGATACCAGGAAATGCCATAGCAATCACTACAATGAATCACCATAATGAATCTGCAAACTGGGGCAAACTAATAATTCTTAGGGAACTTGCTCAAACAGTTAGATGATGATTCTGTTAGCAGCCAAAGAGTTTTGCAAAGCACAATAATGGTCACTGGTTCGTATTATTTGCAAGTGGTCCATCTAATGAATCCACTAAGTTAGGGAGGATAGGGAAAGATTGGACACTTTGAGACGATAAATAAACAACCTTAATTTTTAACTTCTGTGAGCCGAATAAAGGCGGGGACGAGTTAGCATGATTGAACCCACCAGCAGCCGGAAACCTTTCATGGGCTTAACCTTATGGATATGATCATTGAGATGACAATAATTCTCCAAATCGAGATTCACAGTTATGGAGATTAACCCTAATGATCAATCATGCAGATTTTGATGTCATTCTATATTCTATCTCAACAGTGAAAAAAGGTCGAACTCATGACTGTTATGCAGTAAGGGACAAGTAATATAGGTGGACGGCATTATTGCTAATTTTGACAGATACGCGGACATCGGAAAGAAAAAGAAAAAAGCTCGAAACTTTGCTTATCAAACGCTAGTGATTGATGAAATTTAAAAAAAAAAAACTACCCTCTAGCATTCTCAGTCAGTGCTTCACTAGACAAAGAGTAGGTACAAATTCGTCAAGGAGTGCTTAAATTAACATGAAAATGAACACAACCCAAAATAATTAATCAGTTGTGGGGCCGTACCTAATCACCATTATATTGGGGGAGAGATGCAACCTTGATCCCAAGAGAATATGCAGCAGAAAGAACCCTGTAGTCTCCACTCCTCAATCCTCCCCTGAAAACCAAAAGAAAGCCGCATTAGCATCAGAGCCACTGAACCATGAAGCCAACCAAGCTCAGGCTTCAATCGGTGGCTGCATTCATTTGCTTCTGCGCCGCTTACGTGGCAGCAGCAGAAGCAAGAATTCAGAACTCTGCAGCTAAGAAGACGTACATAATCCACATGGACAAATCCACCATGCCCGAAACCTTCGACGAGGACGACCACGAACAATGGTACAGTTCGTCTCTCAAAACAGCATCAGAATCAGCCGACATGCTCTACACTTACAGCACACTAATCCACGGATTCTCCACGAGGCTCTCTCCAGAGGAGGCACAGTCGCTCGAGAAACAGCCAGGAGTGCTCTCCGTCACACCCGAAACCATCTACGAGCTCCACACGACTCGAACCCCAAAATTTCTCGGGCTAGAACAGAGCGAAGCCCTCCCTCTCCTCCCCGCATCAGGATCGGTGAGCGAGGTGATCGTCGGAGTCCTCGACACCGGAGCATGGCCGGAACTCGAGAGCTTCAACGACCAAGGGCTCGGCCCTGTTCCCAGCAACTGGAAAGGAACATGTGAGGTAGGGAAAAACTTCGACTCGACGAAATGTAACAAGAAATTAATCGGAGCGAGGTATTTTTTAAAAGGGTATGAAGCATCATTCGGACCTGTTGATGAAACCGTGGAATCCAAGTCGCCAAGAGACGACGACGGCCACGGAAGCCACACGTCGACCACTGCAGCAGGTTCGGTAGTCTCCGGAGCTAACCTGTTCGGTTTTGCTCCTGGTTCGGCTCGAGGAATGGCCCCACAGGCTCGAGTGGCCATCTACAAAGTGTGCTGGCTCGGCGGGTGCTTCGGGTCGGACATTCTAGCCGCCATGGAGAAAGCCGTGGAGGACGGAGTCGACGTGATGTCGCTGTCGATTGGAGGCGGAGTATCGGATTACTACAGGGACACGGTGGCGATCGGAGCTTTCTCTGCTGCTGCTGGCGGGGTCTTCGTCTCATGCTCTGCGGGGAACGGAGGACCGAGTCAGGGCAGTCTGTCGAACGTCGCCCCCTGGATAACCACCGTGGGAGCTGGCACACTGGACCGGAGCTTCCCCGCTTACGTCAGCCTGGGAAACGGGAGGAACTTCACCGGGACGTCGCTCTACAGCGGGAAGCCGCTGACGAACATGCTGGTCCCGTTGGTAAACGCGGTCAACGCGAGCGATGATTCGTCGTCGTCGGGGAATTTGTGCTTGTCGGACAGTTTGGTGGCGGAGAAGGTCGCCGGGAAGATTGTGATTTGTGACCGTGGAGGGAGCAGCAGAGTTCAGAAGGGTCTGGAGGTGAAGAGAGCCGGCGGGGTCGGAATGATTCTGGCGAACACAGAGTTGAACGGTGAGGAGCTGGTTGCTGACGCCCACCTCCTGCCATCATCCGCCGTGGGGGAGAAATCCGGCGACGAGATCAAAGCCTACGCTGCTTCCGATCCCAAGGCCACAGCCACGATCGTCTCCGGCGGGACGCACGTTGGGGTCGAGCCGTCTCCGGTGGTGGCAGCGTTCAGCTCCAGAGGTCCCAACCTGGTGACTCCGGAGATCCTGAAGCCTGATGTAATAGGGCCAGGGGTTAACATCCTGGCCGGTTGGACTGGCGCGATCGGTCCGTCCGGACTGGCCAACGACACGAGGAATGTGAGCTTCAACATCATTTCAGGAACTTCCATGTCTTGCCCACATGTGAGCGGCCTGGCCGCTCTGATCAAGGCAGCTCACCAGGACTGGAGCCCTGCAGCCATCCGGTCCGCCCTCATGACCACAGCTTACACGGCTTACAAAACCGGGTCGATAATCCAGGACGTGGCCACAGGTCGAGCGGCCACGCCATTCGATTATGGAGCTGGACATGTGAACCCGATTGCAGCCCTCGATCCCGGCCTGGTCTACGATGCGACGGCAGAGGACTATTTCGCGTTCCTCTGTGCTCTGAACTACACGTCGGAGTTGATCAAACGGGCGACCAACAAAGCATTCACTTGCGACTCAAGCAAGAAGTACAGCCTGGGCGATATGAACTACCCGTCTTTCTCCCTCGCCCTCGACACAGCGTCGGGCATAGGAGGTGGAAGTGGGGGTGCGGCTACTGTGGTCAAGTACAGCCGGACGTTGACCAATGTGGGGTCTCCGGGGACGTACAAGGTGGAATTGGCTTCGGAGACTCGCGCCGTGAAGATGTCAGTTGAGCCCTCGACCCTGACCTTCGGCCAAGAGAAGGAGAAGAAGAGTTACACGGTGACGTTTACTGCAACCTCGATGCCTTCAGGGACAACCAGCTTTGCTCATCTGGAATGGTCGGATGGAAAGCATGTCGTTCACAGTCCAATAGCTTTCAGCTGGGTATAAGCAAAATGATATTCAGGGTGATAACGAACAAGTACAAATATTACTGTTCATAGGAAGTGCAAAGTGCCAGAATGTTTACTTGTTAAGAATTTCCCTTCACAATTCCATCCCTTCTTGTTGTGATTGTAGTTTCCTCTGCGAGACTACTAGGACAGAGAAGACAGGTTTTCAATAATTGTACAGAAAACCCATAATAGTAATCACATGTGCAAATCAAGGTGTTTCTGTTATTGTGCCTTGTTAACAGAACAAGCCTGTAATGGAATGCCTGATGGCTGATAAACAAGAGCCACCGAATAACCTCATCAAGTTGGGAATTGGGCAAAGCCGTTTCCCAATTGCAGCAGCCCACAAGCAAGTTCAAAGGGCGACAGCCACTTCATTTCAACTAATAAAGTGGAAATGACATTAGGAAATGGGCTTCCATCATAGATTTGAGCAGCAATATGCTCCGTGACCAAGGAAGCACCAAGGCCTACCCTATTATGTTAGCCACACCATAGTTCTAACAGCTTATTGGCTCTTCCCACCTTTTAGTCTTCTTGGGGATCCACCTCTACACCTGAGACTAGGGTCCATTACATTTGCCAATACCAAGTGTTACAGGGAAGGTAAAAAGGTATGAGCACAGTATGTTGCGTGGGAAAGCATCTACCAAAGACAATGAAATGTGCCAATGTTGCTCCAAAGATCAACGTCGAAATCCTGTATTCAACAGTTCATAAGCTCTGTGCAAGGAATTTGGTAGTGGAGTTTTCTGCTAATGAGAGAAGTGGGTTTGCATGAATGTGGATATGGAAAAAACGCAAGAATAATCAAGGATTATCTCCCTAAGACTCCACCAGATGCCAGCTAACTAATCTTACCACCAGTGAGGCATTCACTCACTGGACATTGTTAGCTAAAACACAAGCAGGTATTACAGCAAGCAATAATCGAATGTTGCAGCGGACTTTTGATTCAGTTTTTCCATAGTCAGCCTAATTCCAATTCTTATCAAGTGTCCACCTACTGATGATTCAAGACATTAGTCTAAAAATCATAACTAGGCTGATCCATGTGCAATCTCAGAGAATCAATGATCAACTAACAATCGAAGAAGACACAAGCAGAAGAAACAACCATGTTTAATTATAAGAATCTCTCAAGAATTCAGATTTTAGATAATAGTCTTTCAGAATCCTGTGAAGACTGACAAACATGGAGGTAGCAGGTATCAAGCTGCCAATACTTGTGTCTCACTCCTTCCCAAACATCTTCGGCAAAGCATTCCTATTTACCTAGAAGGTAGCACTCTAGCGACTTCGTCGAGTAGCCCAGATTCTCGCACTCTAGCGAAACTAAATTACAGTAAACTACATAGAAGAATGCATTGCCTATTTACCTCCACATAGCCCATTGAAGAACGAATAAATCCCCTCCAGGTCTCAACAACTTGGGCAGATGTTGATGGAACTCCCTCAAATCTTCATAATACTCCCCATAAGTGTCAAAGAAAATACCTGAAAAAGCAACTTAATCAATTCCAGTATCACACAACCCATCAATCTGCAAAAAGGACAATTGAATCCATGATTTACCATCACAAGTTCCAACGACCAAACACGATCTTGACTTTCTCGTTCTCAGCTCAGCCACTACGAACCATCCGGTCATGAACTTCTTGATGTGCCTCGACAATGGTGTGTAAAGTAGGGGTGTATTGTTGAATGGCAGTGTCCACAAGCCCCATCAAATCCTATGTCACCACCTCCTGAACATATAGTTTCTGTATGTGTTTATATTAGAGGTTTCTCCCAAGCCATCATAACACCTGTACAATGGGATTCCAACAACTTATCTTGGCTAAAATTAACCCTATCTTCTAAGAATAATCCCCATTAGAGTTGGTTGTTGTTCTCATTTGCACTCCTCGCAATAGTTCCAAAAATCAATTCAGCTTGGATTCCTGTATGCAACAAAAACAACTTAAAATGGCCAGTTCTAGCTATATTCTTACAGCCATAAACACTTGTACAACAGATTTGATGAATTTGGACTTCCGGCTAGGGGGAAATGGCGGATTCCAACAGTCAAACATAAACAACTCAATGCGAAAGCTAGAGGAGAGAGTTGGCGAGCGACAAGATCGTCAATACCAGCATTGAGGATGATATTGAATGCTTCCTGGTGGCCGGCATCCATAGCGAAGTTTCCAGCGGAGTGATTAGAAGCGGAAAGAGCGTTCCACTCCCAAGGAGCGACAGCTTCGAGAAGGGAATTGATGACGTCGCCATGGCCGCATCAGTCGGGTTAAGGCCATCGCCGTCGAAGTAGGAGGCGTCGGCTCCGCAATTAATGAGCGCGATTTCACTTTCTCCAAGTCGCTCTCCTTCGCGCCTCGGAGTTCCGAGGAGTCAGCCATGACTAGGGTGTCAGTTCGGGTCGGGTTCGGTTACCCAAACCAAAACCCAAAAAAATCCAAAAATCCAAAACCGAAAATCACTAAAACCGAACCCGATAAGGACTTGTGGGTTCTGGTTACCCGAAACCCGAAAATTTCTTATTGGGTTCGGGTTCGGTTAAAGCAAAACCAAAACCCGAAAATCCGAACGCCTTAAAATACGGGCTGAGTTCTATTCATTGGAGGTTTTTAGCCGGAACCCGAAAAACTGATAAGCAAAACCGAACCCAAAACCGAAAAACCCGAAACGAACCCGAAAAACCGAAAATGTATATAATCGGGTCGGTTTCGGGTAAACCCAAAAAACCGAACCTGAATGGACACCCCTAGCCATGATTGCGGTTCAAGTTCAACGGTGCACTTCAGTAAAAAATAAAAAATAAAAAAAAGCTCAACGGTGCACCAACGATAGTGGGAATAGTCCGGTCGTTTAACCTGGTTTTTCATACGAGAATTGTACCAAGCCTACAACTGAAAACTAGTTACGGGCCCGGTCGGTTGGCCGGATTCATTCGCCAATTGCATAAATAGCAGTAGCAATTTTTATGTGATATTCATGCTTCTTTGTTAGTATAAGAAAATCTAGATCTTTTAAATTATCGAACATTCAAATTTTTTGGTAGCATAAAAGAATCAAAATTATTAAAAATACTTCAATCGTTCAAAAGGATCAACATCATAGTATTTTGCGACATCCTAACCAACTCATCATAAATACCATTTGTCTTCCCAAAAGTAATTTGTGTAAAAAGGATCAAAATTTGCTTTTGCTTTACTTTTGTTAATTGTTATAGCAAACAAAATGCAATAGGATATTGTCTGCTAACCATTGTGAAATCTTGACTTTTGTAATGAGAAAGACAATTTAATCCGAGGTAGAAAGACCCTATCACCAATATGAGTATCTATTAGAATCTTCACTTTAATAAACCATGTGCCAAGTCTCTTGACTACAAGGTTGTCAAACCGGTTTGTGCAAGTGTGCCGGTTTAGCAAGTGGAATGGTTCGACCGGTGGTACATACCGGTTTGTGCCGGTTAATATTACAAATAATTTACAAATACTCATATTTAAGCACGACATTTAACGTCAATACCTAAATATTTGTACTTGAATCCAACAAATAACATCAACATTTAACTTTTTAACACATAAAATAAATAATAAATTACTTTTTATCAAATAAATTCACTAATATAAGATCATTTTACTTAGAGATTCGCATATCGATCATGCCGGTCATACCAGTGGTGTCATATCGGTTTTATGACCGGTACAGGTTGAACCAGGTTCAACCAATGGCACGCCGGCCGGCGTGACAACCATGCTTGACTATCATCCTTGTACTATTGCAGAGACCTATACTTTGATCCATATTTCTTAATAAAATGACGAGCCATCCAACTTTCAACCTAATACAATTAAAAAAATCAACCTAATAGAATGGTATAGTAAATTAATTATCTTCAATGTATTGAGAAACTCCACTGATAATCTCCCTCTATATGATGCTTGTTACCAGGGTCAATATCAATTGTAAAGACCTCTTATAACAAACTTCATCTCTTGAAACCCTTTTCATCACACAATTATTAATTTTTCGATACCTTTTCATGATGTGGAGCCAATATAGCACGGTGAACCGCAGAGGTTCCTTCACTGCAATTCGAATGGAGATCGTTGTAGATATGATTCACAATATAAGCAATTTCATCTCCTTGCTCATGTTGATTTCTCAAAGAAGTTCGAATTGAGGTCATTGACTCCCCAAAAACATTGGACTGCACTCCATCACCAATCTGCAAAATCCATCTGTTGAATTCTTCAATCTGAATAGATTCTTTAGGGCACAATTTTTGGGGCACAATCTCATATTTTGAGAGAGCTTCAAAACTTTCAATGAAGGCCATAAGTACGACCTCTTGATAGAAGAATTGGAAATATCTGCTTGGATTCCCTTCCCAATTACTATTAATGTTTGCTGAAAATCTCCACCAAACGCAACAAACATTCCTCTAAAAGTCATGTCCTCGTTGGTTGGATGTTTCACATGCAAAATATCTCAAAGAGTTCTATCCACTACTTCAATATTATGGTTATGAACCATAGTAGCTTCATCCCAAATAATAAGATACGCATTAGGAATCAACTCTGCTAACTCGCTTCTTTGTTCAATATGACATGTTGATTTTGAGTCACAGTCAATTGAAACATAGAATTGAGAATGAGCAGTTCTAACTCCAACAACTAGTAAAGCTGCAATACCAGAAGAAGCAATGCACGACACTATATTCTTTTTTGTCCATAGTTTCAGACAAATAACTTTCTAAAATAAATGTCTTCTCTATACCTGCAAATCCATCAACAAAGAAGCAGTTCTCATTTTCTTCATCCACAGCTTAAATAATTGCATTAAATGGCTTCATATGCTCTGAATTCAATCTTGGATACAATGTACTGAACTCCTTCAATAAATCTTGAATTAATAGCATAAATTGCCCATCTACTATGGTTTTTTCCTAAACATGCCCCTCTACTATGTTTTAAATCAAATTTGTCCTCCTACTATTATCACGATATCAAACCTGCCCTTCTGTGAATATTTTCGTTTGGGTTCCGTTAAATCCGGTTCGAACGGTTCGAAGTAGGAAAACGAGAGGGGAAAGTTCAAATTTACCCCTCCTTTGGCTTACCTGCATCAATGTATCTTCCCCGCTCCAAAGAGACGTCATTGTGAAGCCAACGCCGGACCTTTTCAACTTCCTCCCCTCTGTTCTCCAAACCCTGCCTCTGTCTCACCGCTGGTTTACCTAGCCGTCGTCGACCACGTCGACTCATGATTCCCAAATAGTCCACTGAAACCCTAAATTTTAATTCCGAAATCACCTGCAGCTGGCCGACAAATTAACAACAACAATCCGATGAGTGATTAACGGGTCGTTTGCGTCGTGGATTTGAAAAACGAAGGTTTTGATAAAACGAAGGTTTTCCAAAACTATGGACTTATAAGGTTTTGGGTTCATTATGGACTAATGAAAAACCATTGTTTGTTTCATGGATTTTATTATGGATTGTGCTTAATTAGATTTATAGGGTATAGAGTGAGATGACCTTATTGCCCTTATTAGCAATTATTTGTTTTATGGGTGCCACACAAATTGCAGCCCACAAAGACGTTTTCTCATTCTCCCTTTCCCCACGAGCTGCCTTTGTAGATCGAGAACTCTTTCTGGCGGCTATTGGAATCTCGTTTCGCCGGCAACCTCTGTGTACCGGCGAACTCCCATTTGTTGGCAAATTCCATCGACGGGCTCCAACAGCTACTGCAACAATCAGGTGAGATTTGGAACTCAGCTCTTTATTTGCTCGTTTTTTTTTATGAATCTCTGTCTATACTCTTTTTGATTGATTAGAACCAGCAACTATATCATTTGCTGTTTGTGTTTCTTAATCCAAGAGAGACTATCATGGCCAGCAAGGAAAAGGGGTAGAAAGGGATTGATGAATTCTATTACGGGGATGAAGAGGTATTATGCCACTGCGGGCTGAGAGCTTCTCGAAGATTTCACATACTGTTGGCAACCCGAATCGAAAAATTTTCGGTTGTCCATTGTTCGGCTCTAAGATTTGAGTTTTGGTAATTGTGTTCGAAGCTTTGCTTGTTAGGTGAATTAGTTTGTCTTGTTTGAGCTAGTGACTCGTAGCATGTTTGTGGACACAGAAGAAGGAGCCTTGTGATTATTTTGATGTGCACGACATTAGAGCTGCATTATACAAGGAGAGGAAAAGACTTGGTGAAATGGTTTCGAATTTGCAGCTGGAGAATGCAGATCTTTGTGCTGCATTAGACAGAGTGTCCAAGCATAGTGTTGATGTGGGAATTGAAAGCAAGAATGTGATATCATCCTACGAAGAGATAGTTGTTGCCATTAAGTCGATTAAGCTCAGGTTGGACCAATTGGAGGCTGGGAGTTCAAAGCTCAAATGATTATATGGGTGTTTCAAATTAGAATCCAGGGCTGCTTAATGCTGCAATTTTGTGCTATGTTAGAGTGATCCCACGGATTTGTTTATTGGTGTAAGTTTCTTTTCATGTGTACTGGTTAGAGTGTTGTTAATGAGAAGTAGAGTTGTGTAATGGAATATTTAAGGAGTAATGAAATGAGGTGCTTTGATACTTGAATTTGGTTTCTGCAGATAGTTCTTTAGGTAGCTTTGATACTGCTTTCTGATCAACCGCAAAATTGCAGACATGGATAGTAGAGTTTGTGATCATTCAGTATAAAAAGACTGCTTTCTACATATCATAGATCAAGCCATAGTCTTTAGCAATGGAAATGAAAATTATAAGATTGCAGCATATATACATAAATAACCTGCATATATTAATAAGTCAGAAATATACAACTTAAACTGAATACATAGCCAATTCTTCGACACATATTGGAATGGCTTGGAAACTTTCCAAAATAATCGACCTCCTACTTTAACAGTTGCATGCTAGCTCCTCTGAGTCAGCTCTGCATAAGAGGCCGAGTTTCCTATACATACTATATGTGTTCAGTTCAAAATGTACAACACTGCATACATATATACGACACAACATATTATAGCTAATAGCTTCCATGAGTCAGCACTTCTCAACGCAGTAAGTTGTGAATGAAGTAATTTCGATCCTCCTCATTATCAAGAGAGAAGAAAAGTCTTGTCTTGCGATCATTCTCAACTAATGCCATAGCAGCATCTAGCACTTGGCAGCGTTCAAGGCCTTCTATTTTCCCAATCTCAGCCATCAATGCAGCTTCCTTTCTAGTGTCTTCCTCACGGTCTTCTATAATGGTGCCTAGAGCATCAAGTGCCTTGGATATGACATGCTTCAATCCACACAATTCCTGAGCTACAGCAGCAATAACATCATTGGCCTTACTCTCTATCTTCTTAGCCCTCTTGTTGCTCCCTTCTCCTGGATGAACAACAGCTAGAGGTGGAGGCACAACTGTTGGAGATGGAGGAGTGACCCTCTGACTCTCAATCCCTTCATTTATCAAATCCTCCATAAACCTCTCTAAACTCGACGTCTGAAGCCCATCCAAGTTAACAAATGCAGGTACATCAACCACTAGGGAGTCAACATCATTAGTCATACAAACCGTCTTCTTTCCATTGGCAGGTCCAACCTTCCCAGACACTTTCAATAGGTCATTATAGAATGGGAAAGGCTTCATGTTCATATTTTTGCAGTTTGGGAAAACCTACAATGAAGCACTTGTGTTCAGATGAGAATGACTAACAATATACATATATACAAAGACCACGTGATACATATATGTAATAGATTACCTTAACTACACTTGCAAAAACGTCATCATCTAGTGTTGGAGTAGAGGTTGCAACATCCCACCCACAACCACACTGATTTTTCAGCAAGTGTAGAGCATGAAAGTCCTTCTTCAACTTCTTGTGTCTGCTATGGATATGCGGTTCAACCTGCACACCACAACCTGGAGCCCTCTCCTCCATCATGGTTTGGAGCTCAAAAAAGGTCTCATTCTTAAAGGAACCGTTTTCAACTTGATGTCTTTGTACTAACTCCACCATGCATTGTATGAGCAATTCATTAAGCTTCTCATCCCACGAGATGTAGGGGCCTGTAGGCTGAACTTCTCCTTCAACATGCATCACCTGCTTTCTCTTCTTTGCCATCCTACAATAAAACAAACATAAATGCATTCTTTAAAGAAAACCTACAGTACCATTCATTCAATGACAACAACATTCATCTTTGACAGTAGCATTCATTGCCAAGTGGTAAAGCACAACCACTCTATATTGACAGCAGCAAAAGAACATAAATGCACACCACACCACAACCACTCTATATCAACAACAAGTAGAATTATATTTAGCATTCAAATATGTCTTTACAATCAGATCCTACAACATACTGTTACAACCACTGATACATGCAGCAAAAGTCAAAATAGAAAATGCAAGTACATGAAACATAACATACAACCACTAATAACATAAAATACATCATCTGCCACTTCTATTCTCCCACATGTCTACTGCCTATCCCTATAATGATTCCAACTTTGTGAAGGACATACTCCAGAGACTAGATCAATTTCTTCCACAATAGATGAAGGATGCTACTAAGGTTCTTGGTCCCTATAATCTCTCTCAAAAGTGTCAACTCCCTGCTCCAGCGTGATGAAATTATGCAGCAAGCAACATGCATTCACTAATAGTGTAACAACCTCAGGGGAGAACCGGCTGGTTTCTCTAATAATGGCCCATCTCATTTTCAAAATACCAAAAATCCTCTCGACAACGTTTCTTGCTGTGGCATGCTTCATATTGAAGTACTCCTCAGCTGTTAATGGTCTATTACCTCCTCCCCACTCTTTCAAATGATACCTTTGACCCCGATATGGAGCTAAAAACCCTTCAGAGTTGCTATACCCGGCATCTACCAAGTAGTATTTTCCTATTAAATTGAAAGAGAAACATGTAAGAACTAATCAGTGGAAATAAGGTTTATTTTCAGAATGGCTAGTTCCTTCTAAAAGGCTACATTACCTTTCTCAACGCGTAGTCCATTTGGCCTAGCCAATGCATCTCCAAGGACCTTTCCGCATGGGCTGAACCCTCCCATCCAGCTAAGCAGTACACAAACTCGAGGTTTGGGTTGCACACTCCCAAAACATTCATTGTAATATGCCCTTCCCGATCTCGATACCTAGGTTTATCTTCTGTCCTAAGTCCTAACACGCAGCCTCACATGTGTCCCGTCTAGTGCCCCTAAGCAACCCTTCACCACAGAAAAACTAGCTGTTTTAGGATAGTAATTGCAGCTAACCTTGCAAGTTAAAGAAAATTCAAATAATTAACAGACCTTAAAGTGTTTCCACTTAGGATCAGTACAATTTTTTGGTATAGCTTATGGTCGGCGGAGTAAAATAGGATGCAACCGAAGTACAACACGGTAGGATTCTATGAATAACTTTGGAGATAGTTTGTCCTGAGCGACAAAAGTCAACTTGTGACATTCTGTTCTTCTTGTTGTGCTCGATGGTAACTAAAAACATCATGACCATCTCCTCTATATCGACATCATCTGAACGTTCTAACCCCCCTTCACGGACGAGTAGCTGACACAACCTCTTGAACATACTACGACTCATCCTAATACTATCAATGCAACGAGTATCGCATAGATCAAGTACTCGTCTCATATATCTCATTCTATCATGTTGACGGTCAAATTCAAATATGCTATCTAAGGGGGTGTTCCGAGGTCTGGATTTTAACTTTTTCATCACTAATAGCTCCAGAAATCTAATCATCAAAGATACATAGACAAGTAACAAGGTTAAAACAATCCTAATAGCCTTCACGGTGTTCCGTTTCTGCACTTTATTAGACTTTCTTCTCAATCGAGCCATAGCCTTAACATCAAAAGAAGCATTACAACATACAATCAGGAAACTTTCCATACCAATCCATCAAGAACTCTCAATGGAGCCACAACATTTATGTCACAAACCATAACACATAGTTAGCTTTCGAATTTCAGTTCAAACAAGAAAGTAATTTCACATACAAGAAGCATCTATCAATAAGTTACTGAACTTTACAAACTCATACAGAAAGGAGCTTTCTTTGTATGGTCAGCTTCAAACAATACAGATGGAGGCCTTATATTCTTATTATTGAAGTAGCTTAGAGAAAAGCTTGACTCTGCAGAATGGTGAAAACCAGGATTGCTTAAAAAATCGGACTCCAAGCTTTGGAGTATCTATGAGAGGAATGTGTTGTACTGTTGTCTCGGAAATTAAAACTTCAATACACCCACAACATCACAAAAGATCGGCCAAGCATTGTTCTATGGTTCATCGAGAAGAAAGACACAGATGAGAAGCAACAACAGAAAGCATACCTGGTTGCAGCGACGGAGGAGAAGATCGGAGATAACGACAAAGAAGAAGATCGGAGATAGCGACTGAGTATAAGTTTCTCTGTTAGAGTCTACTTCCTTCCCTTGCGTTTCTTTCGCCAATTGTTTTCCCTCGCAACTCGCAAATAGAAGCTTCACTCTTTTATCTGCCAAAATTTCGGAAAGGATAAACAGAAGGGCATTGCTGGCAATAACAAAATATGGGGGAAAAGGGTGTAATTACACATCATGGACTTCAATCCATAATAAAAACCCACCTCAATAGCTGGAACCTTCAAGTCCATGGGGCCCACGGATTTGGACCCCCAAAGTCCGTGGGCCCCACAGATTTCAATTTACTAAATCTCTAATGCAAACAATGGTTTTTACTACAAATCCATGATGGATGTTTCCATGCCCAAATCCATCAAAAAAATCTTCAAGCAAACGACCCGTAAGGGTCCACGTCGGCGATTCTTGAATGCGCGGAGTGAAAGTTCAAAGCTTTCTTCGTTTTGCCTTGGAGACTAGAGACTAGAGTAGAGAAGGTAATTTTTGATTCTTTAAAAGGAAACCAACGTGTCTTTTACAGGTACCACCCATTTGAAAATGACAAATCAGTTAATAGAAACTTGATTCTTTTGGTTGTAGGACCACTTGAGCAGAACACTTGTGGCCACTTTTTCTTGAAATTGAAGTGGGCAAAAGCTCTTTCTCTATTGCAATTTTGTTTGAAATAATATTTTATTGTGGTAGGTAGGTGGATAATTAAGAGTTGGAGTTTTGTTACAGGGCTCACAATGAGCAATCCAACACTTGTCATTCATGCCGGAGGACAGTTTAAGAATTTGAAAATAAGAGGACAGTATAAGAAGATTGGAGAAGAATTGCCCATTTCTACCATAGATCCTGACTTGATTTGTATTTGGGACCTGAACAACATGTTAAGAGATGACGAAAAGTACACGGATGGTTTTCAACTCTACTTCAGAAAGACTAATGCTGAAGGGACAGATGCTTGGAGACTACTATATGATGACACATCTATTTTGGAGTTTCTAGAACAATTTAAAGGCAAAAATGAATATCATGTCTATGCCAAATACATGGTATCTATTTCTGAGAAGGTAATTTGATGGTTTCTTATTGATTTAGCTTTTTATGAATAGTTCAATAGCTTTGGGTTACTGTATCTTTTGGATTTGGCAACTTTGGTTAATTTCTATTGGAAGAGAAAACAAATTTATATAGTAGAGGTTTATATTACTAAACTTAAGTTCCTCATTGTTGTTTTAGGAGGTCGAAAATCCAGTATCTACTGGAGGTCCATTCTATGATGTAAATGATGGTGTCAACAGTCAACTATGTAAGAGATGGAGCTACTGATGGAGGGGGTTCAGTTGCTAATGGAATAGAAGATGTTGTAGATGGCATGACAAAAACAACATTCGAGGAGGGTGTGTGGATTAATGATGAAAATGACAACTCGGGTAGTGAGTTTGAGGCTCACCGGGAGTGGGTTAGCGATGAGGATGTTGAAGATCGTGAGGAAATTGCAAGAACATTGAAGATTACACAGGAAAAGTTGAAAAGAGGGATACCTACAACATAACACTCTGATGATGAGGTCGAGAGAAGACAACAAAAAAATGCAGAAGAGGAGGGTGCTTTCGATTCCGATGACATTGGGAGTGAAGATGAAACCAATAATGAAGATGGATTAACAGATCATGGGGTGCGTAGGAAAAATTATTTTCTTAAGTACAATCCGAATCTAGCCACCCCTTACTTAGGTGGGCACGATCTTTAATGGTATCCAGGTGCAAGGGCGAATTGCTTGCTGCAATCGCAAGGGACGCAAATGACCAAATGTATCCGGTTGCTTGGGCAATCGTTGAGGTTGAGTCAAGGAATTCATGGGATTGGTTCCTCAAAGAGTTGAGAGATGATTTGGGCATTGATAATGGAGCTGGTTGGTGCTTCAGTTCCGATCAAATGAAGGTATATTTTCTTTTTAGTTACTTCGTTAGGTGTTCATGGTTGATTTGGTTGGAGTTACTTGTATCATGCTTGGAATTATATAAGAAATATATAATTAAGGGGTCATTATTGGCTTTTTGCAGGTACTGTACGCCAAAGAAAAATGGATTCGTTTTTAGCCATTTGCCTTTCTTTGGTGTTTATCTTTGTTGCTTTTCATGTAAAAGAGCAATACAAGCTTTTACCCTTTACAATTGTCAATTGTTTATGGGTTTGTTTTCTCTCAACCAAACTTGCAGGGACTTGTGCCAGCAATAGCAAATATTTTCCCCAATTCAGATCATCGACTATGTGTCAGGCATATTTGGAGTAATTGGAGAAAGAAGTATAGAAAGAGAGAGTGGCAGTCAACTTTTTGGGAATGTGCTAAGGCCTCAACACCATCCTTTTTTAGTCAAGCGTATGAGAAGCTCTCAAAACAAAAAGAGGAAGCAACCAAAGCATTGGTTTCAATTGATCCAAAGCATTGGTCGCGTGCATACTTCTCAACTGAGGTGAAATGTGATTCTGTTGACAACAACATGTCGGAATTATTCAATGAATTAATACTTGAAGCTAGATACAAGGCAGTTTATAGCATGTTGGATGATATTCGAACTATGATGATGTCACTAATCGCAACCAAGAAGGCACAAGCCGATAAGTGGGACAAAGATTTTTGTCCAAAAATACTGAAGAAGTTTGAGAAAAATGCAACGGAAAGCAAAGCTTGTCATATCACTCATAATGGGAAGAATGGGTATGAAGTCTGTCACCATAATGAGAGGTTCACAGTTTCAATACCAAAATTGAGTTGTTCATGTAGAGAGTGGGCGCTAACTGGGATTCCATGTGCTCATGGCATTGCATGCTTGGAGTTTGAAGGAAAGCATCCTAAAATGTATATATCTGAATGCTTCACAACACAAAAGTGGAAAAGCACATATGCAAATGTGTTGCAACCTATGGATGGACCGAGAACATGGATATGAAGTGACTATGAGACCATCCTCCCACCAGATTTTAGAATTATGCCTGGGAGACCAAAGAAGAAGAGAGTATGGAGAATTGAGGAAAAGGAGGACAAGAGGAGGCCAAGAAAGAAGCAGGTGTACACTTCTAAAGAGCTGTTGGCTCGTGATAAAAATGACGAAACCAAGCTTGGTTGAAATGGGAGGGTAATTAAGTGCAAAAATTGTAAAGAATCTGGTCACAATTCTCGCACATATACGAAACCGAAGCAAACTCATGTATGTGCAGTCTAGAACTTTCTGGTTTCTGCAAGTTAATACATTTATCAGAACTAGTTAATTACATGGTAAAACATATGAATTAGGAGAATGAAACTCTACCCAGATACGGTGGGGAAGAAAAGAAGTGTTGTAGATGTTGGTGCTTCTAAGAACCAAGTAAGTTTTGGACAATTCCTTTAGTTGAGTTTAGAATGTTATTCGTCAATGTTGGTTTGTGAATTATAGACCCATTTCTTGATTGAAATGATTTTCATGTAAAAAGGTTATATATGTTTGATTAGGATAATGGTGGCACTAGTAGCACTAAGAGGAAGCAATCAACCAAAAAGAAAATGACACTTGTGGGATGTGAGACGCATTGGAATAGTGACAAAAGCTTTGGTGTTCTAAACGTAAGGATGCATGAATAATATCAAGAGTGTATAATGCTTATGAAGCCACTTTTCTCTTATTTTGCTGATTTTGAATGCAGCCTGGTTTGATAGGAAAGACTATGCCGGAATGCTCAAATCAAGGATATGGACAACAAAGGGAAAGCAACTTTGGTGGCACACAAGAAAGTATGACCACCACTTGAAATTAGACCGTGATTATGCATGAGATAGTTAGACTTTGCTCTACGTTTTGCCGTCATTTTGACCGATGTACCATGAATCATGGATATGTTGTCAACGTATTTGCTTCGAAAACATGAATGTTAAAGGTTGCACAATGTAAAGGCTATATTTTGCCTCTAGACCTACGTACTCAAAACCATGAAAATATCATGTTGCTTTTTTAGACAGATATCATGACTATACTTAGTTACTTCAGGTCCATGGATTTTTAGGTTTTCAGCATTTGCACAATGTAAAGGTTGTTCAACAAAATAGGGAAGTCTCTTTTAATTTGTAATTATTTTTGTAGCATAATCCAAAAATGGGACGTCTCTTCTAAATGGGTAAGTGGGGAAGTTACACAGGTGCGTGTAAATCATAGGGAGGGGTAAATTGGACATTTCCTCTCCCAGTTTTCCTACTTCGAACCGGTCGAACAGGATTTAACACCCAGACGGAATTATTCACAGAAGGGCAGGTTTGATATCGTGATAATAGTGGGAGGGCAAATTTGATGTAAAACATAATAGAGGGGCAATTTATGCTATTAACCCATAAATCTTCTTCATTGTAATTTAACTCCTCAACTATCATTCCATTTCCTGAATTTGACCTCATGGCTCCAGATGGAGTAGGAAAACCTTGGAAATAGGCCAGAGACTTCTAATATTTCTTCAACAATTTATCTTATTTCCACCAAGCATTTATCTTTTATCTCATCAGTATAAAGTTGCAAGTGAGAAAAATTTAACTCCCATTACGATTATATAGGATGTCATCGCTCAATAATTCTCAAATTCTCCACCACAAAGATTGCACATAAGATCCTTTGGCAGTGAATGAAAATTGTGACAAACAGATTCCTTACTTTATATACAGAACCCCAAAAGGCAAGTTCTTTCATACGATCACTCCACTCATCATCATCTGCCAATAACCAAAGAGTAGAGGTGGCAAATGGATTGATCCATGGATTGGTGGATTGGATTGGTGGATCCATGGATCTAATGGATTAGATGCAATGGATTGGTGGATCCATGGATCTAATGGATTAGATGCAATGGATTGGTGGATTCATGGATTGGATCAAGTGGATTGGTGGATTAGGCATGAATCCAAATGACATCCTCAACCAAGGACCAATATGTAAAATGTGAAAAGTTTAGGTACTAAAATGTCATAATGAAAATTTTTAGGTACCAAAACATAATTTTCCAATGATATTTTTCGTATAAAAATAAAATTTTGGGTACCAAAATATAAAATATAAAAAGTATAGGTACCAAAACGTAATTTGTCATTTGGATCCATGGATCAATCTATGAATCCACCAATCCAATTGGATTTAGCTCAAATGGATTGGATTTAAATGTATTGGATTAGGTGAATATTTTTAATAGTTTGGTGGATTGGATTGAGAATTGTCACCTCTACCGAAGAGCATAACATGCTCTTTGGAAGGCATCATGAACAACATCGGGGTCGTTTGGATGTGGAAATTTTAAAACGTTGGAATTTGTCTGAATTTCCATGTTTTACAAAACCAAGGAATTGACTTGTGGAAATTGAAAAAAAAATTCACGTTTGGATAGGGTTTAATTTTGTGGGAATTGATGGTGTGGAATTTGGAAAAAGAAGTAAGAAAAAGTGGTAATGTCAAATTACTAGAGGGAGGTGTAGTATTCTCAATTACCATGAATGTGGTAATTGAAGCCAATTTCCATGGTCTCATTCCCATACCATTTTTGCTCTCCCAAACGTGGGTTTTTAACTCAATTACTGCATTATGTGGTAATTGGGTCCAATTACTTCTTATATCTTCGTAAGAACGACAACCTCTGAATAAATGCAGCAACATGCGAAGATAAAATCTTTTTTCCTGATGGAGAACAATAATATAATCTTCCAAAACAAACTTTGTTCTTCCTAATATGCCACATTTTCAACTCCTGATTCCAAACAAAATATTAAAGAAACCCCACAAATGTATATTTCCGTGCCTAAAAAGAATGAGCATTGATTTCCACCCTTGCCAAGCGCATTGATGTTTCATTTTTTACAATAAATTTTTCAAATTTTCATTCTTCTTTGTAACTACTTTATTCTTTTCAGGCAAATTACACCACATACGCAGTCCGTTGGTCGGATGAATTTGGTAAATATATTAAATAACAATACTTATTATAGAAAGTAAGATATATTTTTATTTGATCGTATAAATAACCCAAATTATTCAATTCCTGAAAAACTCTAACTTTGTAATTGAAAGTAAAAAAATCAAACCCTTAAAATGAACCAATTCGTATATCACACTTCAATTTATTTCTCACTATTACATCTTATATAGATACTACATGTATGTGATGAAGTTTAAATCACATGTTTTCTGCTAATATACGTGTTTGAATCACCTCAAATAAGAATCCAAAAGACCTTGGTATCAATGTTGTTACAATTTTCCACAAAATATCAATGAGTCTGATTGTTGCAGACTTGTTTGAAGTAAAAGAATTTTTGTGTTTAGTAGATATGATGTTTTATTTTTATTTCTAAAAACAAATGAATTGAAAATAATTTAATAGTAGAGATAGATTATTATCCAAGTGCGTGAATGACATTTCGATGTGTACCTATATCTTGTCCCATAAAATAACCTTCACAAATGAGAATAACTCTATTTCCAAATTTGATTGGTTTTTATATTCATGAATAAATAATAATTATATTCATAAAATAAAATATTTTCAGAATTTTCATTATCAATCCTACCCAACAAATCTACAAATGGCTAGAATTTTCAAATTTAATGTAACCATAACTAAAAGTTGCCATGACATACTAATCTTCTTAATAATCCTTCATAGTTTGAGTCCAAATCCAACGACAAATATCTATTAGGCATGCTTTTGAAATTTAGAAATAATGATTTATCTATTAATAAAATTATAATACATTTTCTCCCTCTTACTTTCCTACACGTTTCTCTCTCTATCACTCTTCCTGCTCACGTCTTTCTCTCTCCCTCCCTCACTTATTATATTTATATCCCCTCCCCTACTCACCTCCCTCACTTATTATATTTATAAATTTTGTATTTACCAAATTCTCCTTCCGTGCTTTGCGCAGGGACCAGGAAAAGTGAGATGATGGGGTTCTGGATGAGAACCTCCATATATTATAGGTTTAAATTTAAATTAGATAGATTAGATTGGATTGGATTGGATTAAAATTGGTGTAAACCATAATCGGATTAGATTGAAAATGCTCATGTCCGGTCTGGTTTAACACGGTTTTCATACGAGAATTGTGCAAAATCTACAACTAAAAATTGCATTGGATTGAAAGCGATTTCAACAATAATCGGATTCGATTGAAAATGGTATGGTTCAATTTTAACTGAAAAATCAAATTGGGACAATGTTCTTACCAAAAAGTCACCATAAAATACAATAAAATAAAATTTTATCTCATTTGTGAATTGTGATGAAGGTAGGGCGGAGAGCATCTAGCAGGACGTGGTGGTTGGTCGTAGTCAGTGGAAAGAAAACTGGACGGTAGGAATACTGTAGGTATGAGTTGTTCATGATTCAAAAAGGTGCACTTAAACTTACATTAGGCGTGCCTAGGCGCTAAGCATCGCTAAAACGTCTCACCCAAGGGTTCCGCAACGAGTTCGAGATCCAAGATGCGGCACCGGGGTACGGCGTCACCTAGGTGTTGCGTGTGTATAATTAGGGGGAGCTATTATTCTAAGAAATTGTGATTTATTCGAGGTCCTAGGTCCTATCAAAGGAAGTTCCTTCACCTGGAGCAGCTTCTCGAAAGCTGCCACTCTTTTGAAGAGGGGGAGTGCGTGGAACATTAAGAGTGGGCGGCAAACTAAGTTTTGGCATGATTTGTGGATTTTGCAGGTACCCTTAAAGGAAGTGGCGACTGGAGCTATTCCGACGGAACTAAATGGGGCGTTGGTGGTCGACCTTGCGGACGATGACGGCAGATGGCGTACGGAGTGCTTGCAACACTTGTTGCCGACGGACATCTACCAGAAAATCCTAAACATAGAGGTGGATAAGCTTTCTCGGGAGGAGGATACCTTGTCTTGGACGGCTTCAGAAGATGGGCGATACAGTGCAAAATCAGCTTTTAACCTCATTAACCAGCGGGAACCTGATCCGGATGAGAAGGTGTGGAGGGTCATTTGGAGATTACAAGTGCCAGAGAGGGTCAGAGGCTTCATGTGGCTGAATTTTTCAGGGAGGATAGCGATTAATGCTCTTCGGTTCGACAGGAAGTGTGCGGGGAACCCCTTCTGCCTACGGTGTTCAGGTCAGCAGGAAACTATTCTAAATGTGCTCCGTGACTGTCCTCCTGCCAGGTTTTTCTAGTTTTGTCACGTTCCTCCACTGAAACATCAGGTCTTCTTCAGCTCCACCACAAAGCAGTGGCTTAGTGGTAACCTCCTGAGCAGCGCGTTCACGGGAACCGAAATTGATTGGCCGGCCTTCTTCGGCATGGCCTCTTGGTGTCTCTGGAAGAACTGAACGGCGACGTGCTTTAAGGGAGTCAATGCAGCACTTTCTCCTCCATCTCTTGAGAACTCAATTGAGGCAAGGACCAAGATGCGGAGTGATGCTTGGCGCGCCCCAGACCCCCTCCCCAGCAACAGAAACCAGGCACTACAGCGGACGTTGGCCAACATTTGATGGAACCCGCCGCCGGAAGGCTGGATGACTCTGAACATAGATGGTTCCTCGAATGGCAACCCTGGTCCAGTAGGTACAGGGGGCGTCCTCCACGACTCCTTAGGACATTGGCTAGCAGGTTTTGTGGCGAACATTGGCTCAGCAACTCCAATTCTGGCCGAGCTTTGGGCACTCTGCTACGGGCGGGATCTGGCTTGGAAGACAGGGTGTCAAGCTCTTCGAGTGGAGACAGATTCGATGATTGCTACCCAACTGATCAGTTCTCGGCTCGATCCAATACATCCCCACGCGACACTTCTTTCAGTCATTGGCAGGAAGTTGAGTCAGGAATGGCTGGTGAGCATTACTCATATATATCGGGAAGAGAATAGAGTCGCGGACTGGCTCTCGAAGCATAGTCCCGTATATCCCTACGGTATATATGAGCTTGCAAACCCGCCATCAGCCTTGTCACAGATAATCACCGACGACATGATGGGCGTCACTTTTGAGAGACATGTTGTGATACCTCCTCCCCCATGAAGCCTCTGTGTAACTCCCCTCTGTAACCTTTCTGCGTTCTTGGCTTTGGCCTCCTCCAAATGCAAAAAAAAAGTATTAAGTAAGTTATTAATCATCCTAATATAATTAAAGTGATAAAGAGAATTACTGTAGCATAAGAGTTTTGTTATCTTATGCCACGGTGACTTTCCTTTGTTAACAACCATGAAGATGGTGACTGATGCTCATGCTGCTCCACGGTAAATCATGAAATTATGCTTTGACACTTTCTCCAATTATTTCTCTCGATTTGAACCAATAACCAATCTTTCAACCTAATTTAGGATGTTGGCCCGGTCGAGTAAGCAGGTTGAGAATTAATGGTCTGATCACTTTAGTCCGGTTTAGCCTAGAAATTACGGTACAAAAGTAGTTCAACCATGGTTAAATCAGGCTTGACACGTTGCTCCAACTCGAGCTTCCATTTATGTTCATAAACAACCAAAAATTGTAAAACCATACCTAATGTCATACCGAAAAAGATAGCATTAGTGTATTTTATGCTAAAATCATAGTTGGAAAGTGGTTACATCAAGCTTGACACATTGCTCCAACCCGAGCATCGATTTACGTCCACAAAAAACAAAAATTGTAAAACCATACCTAAGGTTGTGCCAAAAGAGTTAGCACTAGAGTATTTTGTGCTAAAATCATAGTTCAACCGTGGTTAATTCAGGCTTGACACGTTGCTCCAACCCAAGCCTCGATTTATGTTCAGAGAAAAATCAAATATTAAAACCATTCCGAAGGTCTTACCGGAAAAGTTAGTATTAAAGTATATTTTTTCTAAAATCGTTATTCAATTGTGGTTAAACCAGGCTTGACATATTTTTTTCTAAACGTAGTCACAAATCAAATACGGGTTTGTAAACAATAAATCTAATCCTATGAGAAGCCGGAGCAAAGTGTGGACAAAATCTACCTAGTTTGAATTAAAGTAGAAGTGTTGTAAACAACTATTTCATTCATCATTTAGTACTAATTGATATTTTTCTTCCACCTTGAGTTAGGCGCTAGGCAAGACCTCAATGCTCGCCTACGTCTAACGCCTTCTTGAACCTTTAATTTGTTCATATTAGTCAATCGGGAATTATGTTGTCCCTTGCCATGTACTTATACTATATGCTGAGAAATCGAAACCCTAGGGAACATGACTAGATACTATAATACAATTTTTTTTTAACCTAGTAGAAATAAAGGCTTCATATGCTAATCATTTTGTTCTCATTTTCTTTTTAACCGAACCATACTAGAATGATATTTACATTTTCCTCACAATCAAACCAAAGCGAATTGGAGTAATTCGATATCGAGTTACAATCGCACCTACGTATTTCTGGTTCCAGATCGGGGCTGAATTCTAGGTATGGCTGAAGGTTCGGTTATCGGTTGCCGGTTAAACGGCCGGTTAAACCGATAACCGGCGGTACCGGTCAACCGAAATTAAATGGCACGGGCGGTGTTCGGCAGCGGTGTTGGTAAGGTCGGCTAACCGAGCGTTATAACCGCGATTAAACCGACTAACTGGCTCATAAATAACCTCCTAAAAACGACGTCGGCCTTGTCCCCTTCCTCTTCCTCTACATCGTGACGAGACGGCGAGAGTCGAGACCCCTGACTCTCCCTGCCACCGCCGCCGCCCTGACTCCGCCTGCCGCCTGCCCGACGCCGTCGCCGCCGCCATCTCCCTCCCCGATGCCAGCCACTCTCCGGCCTCCGCCATCGCCCTCCACGACGCCCCGCTCTCCGCCATCCCCTGCCGTCGCCGCCTGCTCCTGACTCTCCTGCCGACGACGCCGCCATCTCCCTCCCCGACGCGTCCATACTGTGTAGCACTACCGGCCCCCAATCCGCCATTGTTTTTCTGTCTCGAGAGTCGATGGAAACAATTGTTGAACCGGTTCATATCATGCACTGCGGTTACCTCGATTAACCGAGCAACTAACCGGTAACCGATGGTTTCCGTCGGGCGGTTGCCGGTAGTCAATACTAACGTCACGGTTAACCGATAACCGACATTTGGGTTACCGTTTATAACCGATCTAACCGAAAATCCAGCCCTAATTCTAGGGATGACAATTGACAATTGCTTAAGGAGATTCTTCAGCAATTTTTATTGGTTAATAGTAGATTAGGTAGTTAATGAGGGGTTAGTAGTTAATAGTTAGTTGAGAATAAATGAGATATTATGCAAATTAATATTACTCATTAATAATTCTCTTTGTCTCTCTCCCTTAATCTTCTCCATAACCTTCTTTCCACTACAATTAAAAGGAAATTTAAAATTAATTTATTTAAATATTATAATTAAATATTTAATAATTCAAACTTAATATTTTTTCCTTTTTAAATGAAAATTAAAAATATATGATCTCTCACTTCGTGGCAACTTGTATTGCAATATTAACGCTTTCCAGTGACATTATCAACATTTATGAAATGAATCGTTATAACTATACCTCATCATTATTAAAGATTTCAATATACTTATAAATTCTTTACAATTACATTATTAAAAAAAATTGTATCAATTGTTACCGTTTTATAGTTTCGTCATCAACGCTTATGATTGAATCATTAAAGTTATGTAACATGGTCATTAACAGTTTAAATAACAATATCATTGATTTACAATATCTTTACTAATGATTCAAATTTTTACATCATGTTTATAACTATCTAGGCATGGTCTCTTCCAATGATTTCGAATGACATTATTGACATTTTGTGATAAGTTAATATTGATTTACATTATCATTATCAATGATCATAAAAGAGAATATTGATTTTCAACATCTTGAGTACTTGTGACATAGTGCACTTGTGTGATTCAGTCAAGCAAACATTAGTAAAGAAAAAATATTAACTCAAGCAAACCAACATTCACGCCTCAACACCAAACTTTTAATAACAATACAATAAATCATTAATAATAAAAAGTATTTCGTTGAAAATAAATACAAAACATCAATATAATGATGTCTGACTTCAACATTATAAAATGACATTAATCTTTTAATAATGATATTAAAACCAATAAATAACAAATGAGCAAGTCACTGATAAGAAAATAGTTTTTTTGTTGATAATAAAAAAAACATTAATAATATCCGGACGCAATGATTAATGTCAAATAACACTTAAAATGCATTAATAACTAACATGTGTTTAATGGATAATGCAGCCAAAAACTTTGATAATGATAGCAACTAATGATTGTTAAGTACCTTACTAGATATTATTAATATATATTCTTTCAGACATTGATAAGACGTATACAACACTCATTAATAATAACACCAACTACGTTACTAACTTAGACCGAAAGGTTAATAACCATAATTATATCATTAAACACAAATTCAGTTTTGCTAATGTCATAAACAAACAAATACCAAACAAGTATGCTTGTTGATGCTTGTTGATAATCACATTTGACAAAGTTACAAACATAAACAAAAAATATTAATAATACAAATCACTAAACATAACCAATGTTACAAATGAAATAAATTGTTGCTAATGGTTGTATAGTGCCCAGAAAAAAAAAACCATTGATAATAGCACTTCACATGATTATAAATCATTGCAAACTAAATTGATAATACAATGTAATAGTGAATGAACCTCAAATACCAACAAATTGAAAACACAAATTAACTTTTGCTAATGTTACAAACAAAACAAAACATAATAAAGTTAATAATGCTATATCAAATTATTAAAAAAACTTGTCAAACAACATAAATAATAACACAAACGAATACCTAACAACGAAAAACGCCTAAACTCATGCAACGAAAAGCCCTAATGATGATTCAATTTACAAACGTTGATAATGCCATTACAAAATTTTAATACTACATTGCAAGTTGCCAAGATGTGAGAGAGTCATATATTTCAAATTTTAAATTTTGATTTTAAAAATGTTAATTATTAAATTCTGATTTTATTAAATATTTAATAAAATCAATTTTGTATTTCTTTTTAATTATAATGTAGAGAGAGGTTATGGAGAAAATCATGGGAGGAGAGAGAAATAAAATCATTAATTAGTAATATTTATTATATTTGCATAACTACATTTACCCTTAACTACCTATTAACTATTAACTCCCATTAGCTATCTAAATCACTATCCGCCAATAGAAAGGCTTTAAGATTCTACTTAATGAATGATGTTTAAGGACTTGAATTCAAACCTTAAAATTGCCATTCCCAGTGAATTCCCAGCCCCAGTCCTAGGTGGACTAAAGTAAACCCTGCTTTGCTATTTCGGACTTCGAACCACTAAACAAATTTATCTGAGTACAGGTGGCACAATAATTTGCACTCATAAGTCATAACGTCCAAGCAAAAGAAAGCCTTATAACGTCAAACTAAAGAGATTGACGTATCTACACTACAGCTGAGCTGGGCTGGCTAATGGCGATGTTGCTATGAGCTGTGATTGAGTGGAAATGGTGGGTTGGACACTCAGTCTACATATATAGTTTCCAGTTCCACAACCAACAAATCATGTCAACGATAGATTGATTACATTCATCATTCACAACTTTAATGATTTTATTCAATAATAGGAATAAATATTCGACGCCACAAAATAATCTTCCTTTTTCCTTCGTGGTCAATTGGCCATACAAAGATAAATAAAATAATAATGTAAAATAAGGGGAATGGGTTTACTTGCCCTCAGAACAGAATATCAGCCTAATCCCTAATGATTAGCAAGATAATGTGTAATCTCCACCTAATCACGGGTAAAAACAAACAAACAAATGGGCAAGGTGCCAGGTTGTGGTGCAGACCTGTTATTTGTTCAAACTTCAAATGAAGTCAAGATTTCAATCTGATCATATAAAATCACATAAATAAATATTTTGTCAGTGCCATAATTTTGACCAAACAAAATGTACGCGGGGTCTGATTACTAACCCGTCGCTAGCCGCCACCCGTCTGCCCCAAGTCCAACTCGCTAAAAGGCCAGCTGAGCTGATCGACGTGTGCCAGCATAATTTTTTTTAGGTTAATGTCTATTTTTTATCCAAACCTATTGGAATATTATTTATTAACCAAACGTACTATAACTGATCAAATTCTGGACATTGATTTTGTTACCGTCAATTATCTTGTAACGGATCTCCACGTCAGCATCCACGACAGTGTCCACATCAGAAATTAAAATAAAAACAAAATAAAAAATCATAAAAAATGGGAAGAATCTCTAACAATCACTATGCAAATCTGAAGCACTCAACTTCACTAAAAGTTAAAAGAAGGAGGGAAAGGGGGACCACTTGGGTGGGAGGAGGAGAGGAAGGGGGACTCGTTTTTTTCTTAATATTTGATTGGTTTCTGATTGTTTTTTATGTCATATTTAATTAGAAAAAAAACTTATGTCCAAATGTAAAAAAATGTTCGTCTTAATTAATTAATACTATCTATATAAAAATAATGAATAAATTATCAAAATAAAGTTACTATATTAACTGTAGATTGATTTTGAAGAAAAAAAACTCCTCCCCAATACCATTGACGCATGAACTTCAGTTTCTATACATTGTGAGCCTACTACAATATTACTCAGTTGCGGATCCAAGGCTGGGCCAACCCCGGCCCAGCCCTCCTCCGGATCCAGAGTTAGTTTTGTGCTTATAAAATTTTTCGATTTAGGTATTTGGCCCAGTACTATTTAAATCCTGTCTAGTTTTATTTGATAATAGGATTTTGTGTAACTAGGAAAATGGTTCAGATGAACATATCCAAACCATTACTTTAAATTTATACTAAATTTTCAATTGCCCCAATGATTTTATTTGGAAAAAAAACATGAAAACCTAAAAGTGTAAAGTATCATTAAAATAAAAATAAAAACTCTAAACTAAAGTACACCCTTCCTTTCAAAATACAAAAAAATTCCCAATCTCCACAAAACAAAACAAGAACGAGGAGACGAGCTGGATTTCTCCGCCAACCCGTCGAGCTGGTTTTCTTTCCATTCTTTTTATTAAGAAAATATTTACAAACTTGCCGAGTCATCATTTAGACTGCCTCAATTGAGTGGGGCACTAGATTCTAACCGTTCTTTCTGGTGTTTTGATGAGGAAAATATTTACAAACTTGCTCAAGAGTTTAGCCTCGAGACTTTGAAGGCTATGAGATGCATTCTTTGGAGAATGCACTACTCATGTGAGGAAGATGAAGTTTCTTCTCTTGCAAAATTATTAGAGAAGCTGGAGGAAACAGGGATGGACACATAATACAAATTGATTTGTCGGTTGATTTATCTAGTGTTGACTTAGCCGTTTCAACAACTACCATGGAGAGAATATTTTCAGCAATGGAACATGAACATTGATTTGTGCGACAAAATGAGCGATGAATTTATCGTTGAGTACTTAGTTTTTTTTTTTTTTTAAAAAGAGTATATTATCAATATGGATGAAGATTATATTATTGATGAATTTGCTAAATTAAAAGACCTTCTTGTACAATTGGCATTGTAATGAAAACTATATTATTATATATTTTTGTTTATAGTATCTAATATTCTATTCAATGCGGCCCAGTATTCTCTTATGTCCTGGATCTGCCGATGATATTACTTAACAGTTAGTTAGAATTACCGTGTGTAAAATCAAGTGAAGTTGATGTAAGAGAATCACATGACACTAGAGTTATTGGTTCGCACGAATGTTTACGTCTATTGGGTTGTTATGTTACATTCTTTCTTATTTTGTCGACGATCACATGAACTGGTATACATACTTTTTTGGAAGGGACAAGACGTCTTCTTGATGCATTCAGCCCGCCCATAAATAACATAGTAACTACAGTTTGTTTTGTTGGATAATGGAAGGCTAATTTAAATAACTAAAGATTAAAAAATAATAATTGAGGAGTTGCATAAGGAATTTATTAAAGTTTAGTGAGTAAAGAGAAAAGTGCACAAAAGACTGTAGGGGCTGGCATTCATCTACAAGACGACAATTAAAATAAAAT